CCTTCCAGTTGTATTCTATTCTATTCTATTTTCTATTCTATATTCTAATCTAATTCTAATCTAATTTTATTCTATTCTGTAATTCTATTCTGTTCTATTCGTTATTTCCTTGCAAGGACCCCATATTTGGGGGAGGGGCTGTTTGCCGCCCTTCCTGGCTTCTGCTTTTGCAGATGCCAGACAAGCCTTTGCCGCGGGGGGGGGGGAGAGGGGCGCGGAGGTGGGGGCTGAAAGATTTCACCGAGTTTCTGGAAGGGACCTCAGAGGTCATCTAGTCCAACCCCGGCGCCAGCCTCTCCCCCCCCCCAAGCAGGAGAGCCTGGGCCATTTCTGAGCGCATTGGCGTCCCAGTGGGGGTCGGGGGGGCTTCCCTGGCATCTGGAACCCCCTGACCTTGTCTGGGTCGCAAGGGTGTGTGTGTGTGTGGTGGTGCGTGTGTCGTGTGTGGTGTTCATGGAAAGTGTGTGCCACGGGTGAGCCAAGGCCTTGTGAGGGCGAGTCAGCGCCGGCTGCTCCCTTCCGCTTCCCTGGGTGACCTTCCTGGCCAGGGCATAAAGGGCAGCTGTGGGGCAGCTGTGTGGGGCAGCGCCAGAGGTGAGCGTCCCAGGGGGCAGCTGAGCTGCACCTGGGGGGGGAGAGATGGGGAGAATGGATGGGGGGCAGAGATGGAGGAGAATGGATGGGGGGCAGAAATGGGGGGTAGAATGGATGTGGGGCAGAAATGGGAGGTAGAATGGATGGGGCAGAGATGGGGGGTAGAATGGATGGGGGCACAGATGGGGTAGAATGGATGGGGGGTAGAAATGGGGGGAGAATGGATGGGGGCAGAGATGGAGGAGAATGGATGGGGGCAGAGATGGGTAGAATGGATGGGGGCAGAAATGGGGGGTAGAATGGATGGGGGCAGAGATAGGGGGAGAATGGATGGGGCACAAATGGGGGTAGAATGGCTGGGGGGAGAGATGGAGGAGAATGGATGGGGCAGAGATAGGGAGTAGAATGGATGGGGGGCAGAAATGGGGGTAGAATGAATGGGGGCAGAGATGGGGGGTAGAATGGATGGGTGCAGAGATGAATGGATGGGGGCAGAGATGGAGGAGAATGAATGGGGGCAGAGATGGGGGGTAGAATGGATGTGGGGCAGAGATGGAGGAGAATGAATGGGAGCAGAGATGGAGGGTAGAATGGATGGGAGCAGAGATGGAGGGTAGAATGGATGAGGGCAGAGATGGGGGGTAGAATGGATGGGGGCAGAGATGAATGGATGGGGGCAGAGATGGGGGTAGAATGGATGGGGGCAGAGATGGGGGGTAGAATGGATGAGGGCAGAGATGGAGGGTAGAATGGATGGGGGGTAGAAATGGGGGGAGAATGGATGGGGGGCAGAGATGGAGGAGAATGGATGGGGGCAGAAATGGGTAGAATGGATGGGGGCAGAGATGGGGGGTGGAATGGATGGGGGGCAAAGATGGGGGGAGAATGGATGGGGGCAGAGATGGGCGGTAGAATGGATGGGGGCAGAGATGGGGGGTAGAATGAATGGGGGCAGAGATGGGGGGTAGAATGGATGGGGGGCAGAGATGAATGGATGGGGGTAGAAATGGGGTAGAATGAATGGGGGCAGAAATGGGGGGGGATGGACCAGGGGGGAGGCAGAGATGGGAGGGTAGAATGAATGGAGGGAGAATGGCTGGGGGGAGAGATGGAGAATGGATGGGGGGGGCAGAGATGGGGGGAGAGATGGCCAGGAGACAGCCCCAGTGGTTATACAAAAGGCACTCTGCGTATGCACAGAAGCCGCAGGGGGGACCCATCCGGGCAAGCCACAAAGGGCATCTTCCTTTGTGCGGTAGCATTTCCACCCCCCCCCAAAAAAGGCACACACACACACACACACACACCCACACACTCCGGGCTGGAGATGGAGTTGGGGGGCCATGGGGTGGATACCGAGTCCTGGCTGGGTCAGGGTTGGACTAGATGACCTCCCAGGTCCTTTCCAACTTTATTATTCTTGTTATTCTTATTTAGATGCCCTTCCAGGCCCCGGGCGCCTGCCGGGAGGGAGCGGGGGGGGGGGCAAGACAAACGTGGGTGTCGCCTCGCCCGGGGGGGGGGGGAAGCACAGGCAGCCCCCGTCGCCCCCCTTGCAAGGCGGGACAGAGATCTGGGCGGAGCAAATCCACCAACAGGGGGGGCTTGTGGGGGGGAGCTGTCCCCCCCCAAGGCAGAGAGGACATTGGGGGGGGTCTCCATGCCCTTTCCAGCCCCATGGGAAGGGGGCTTCTGTCTGGGGCTGACCCCCCCCCAGGGTTAGGAAAGACGGGGACCCTGCCCCCCTCTCCTCAGCTACCCAGAGAGGTGGGGGCACCCCCCCATTTGCAAAAGGCGGGGGGATTCCTTTTTTTGAGGGGGGGGGCATTTGGGGAGGGGCCAGGCAGGCCCTGGCGCGAAGCGGGGGGGGGGAAGGCACCTAATCCTTTCCCAGAAGCCTCTTTTGCACTCGTGACCCACCCAAGACTCCCAGGATCAAAGTCCACCGGTTAATGATTGACAGCCAAGGGCCTCCCCCCCCCCCCCCCGGTCCTGACCGGCAACGCCCATCCTTGCCTGCCACTTCCTCTCCCCCCTCCCCGCCAGCTCCAAAGGACGATGGGGCCTGTGGTCTCAAGCGGCTGTGTGTGTAGGGGGGTTAGAGTCATTGGTATGGGGCCGTCTAGCTGAGGGGTCTTCCCACTGGGCCCTTTGGGGACTGGTGGACTACGACTCCCAGGATCCCTCAGCCAGGCAGGCTGGCTGAGGGGTTCTGGGAGTTGAAGTCCACCAGTCCCCAAAGGGCCCAGTTTGAAGGCCCCTGGCTGAGGGGTTCTGGGAGTTGAAGTCCACCAGTCCCCAAAGGGCCCAGTTTGAAGGCCCCTGGCTGAGGAATTCTGGGAGTTGAAGTCCCCAAGTCACAAAAAGGCCCAGTGGGAAGACCCCTGTCTTAAAGCATCCCGGCTGAGGGATTCTGGGAGTTGAAGTCCACTAGTCCCCAAAGGGCCCAGTTGGAAGACCCCTCCTCTAGCCTTTAGCCCTGGGGGCCTGTTTCCCGTAGGGGGAGGGAAAGGGGGTGCACCCCCTCCCCTCCCTCTCCCCCTAATCTGGGGGTTGCAGGTGCTTGGCACAAACGGGGGGGGGCTGCTTCCTCTGAGGTGCCAACTGCTGGCGGGGGGGGGAGGTTCGGTCATTTCTCACATCCTACGGATCCAGAGGTTGCTCGATCCAGATGTTGCTCATTCTGACCATCAGGCTGAGACCCCCTCCCCCTTGCAGCCCCCTCCCCACGTGGCTGTCCCAAAATGGGCACGATGCCACTCTGCCCCATGGCGAGGCTGGCACAGGAGCGGATATGCACTGGGTTCGAGTTACGCCTTACGGAGTTGTGGGGGGGTTCTTTCTGTGCTGGCCAGCTGTGGCCGGTCCCCTCTCCTTCCTCCTTGCTGGGGGTGGGGGGGGCTGGTTTAGAGACCCCCACCCACCTACCCAGTGCCCGGGCCCGTCGCGGCCTTTCAAAGTATTTCTCTCACAGGCAGATTCTGACTTGACTTCGTTGCTTTTAGGTCCTGCGTCTTTTTTTCAGTTCGCAGGGTTGTGTTGTTGTTTTTTGTTTACACACACACACAAACAGACACACACACACACAGAGACACACAGACACACACGCCATGTGGTATGTCTGCCTCCGAACTAGATGGTGTAGTTTTTCTGGGTCATAAATGTGGGTGTGGGCGTGCGCACGATCTTTTGTCGTGTTTCTTGTGGTGTGCGGTGGGGGTGGGCCCTTTGAGAGCTGAGTGCAGCCACATTTCCTTTTAACGTGGGCTGATTGGTGTGCATTTAAAGGGACAAAGTTCTGTTGTGTCTATTCTCTTCTCTTCTATAATCTTATTTCTATTTATTCTACAGTCTGTTATTTCTATTCTATTTATTCTGTTCTAATCGAATCTTAACACCGCTGTTCTGTAAGGGTCTCCTGCTTGAGCAGGGGGTTGGACTAGATGACCTTTGAGGTCCCTTCCAACTATTCTATTCTACTCTATTCTATTCTATTCTATTCTATTCTACAATGTTAGTTCTATTCTATTCTAAATTCAATTCTATTCACTTTGTATTACTTTCCATTCTATATTCTGTTCCATTTCTATATTCTGTTCTATCCACTTTCTACTGCATTGCATTGCATTCTATATTTTCAACTCTATATTCTGAATTCTATATTCAGTTCTATTCACTTTATATTCTATAATTCTATTCTGAATTCTGTTGGGAATTCTGTCCTATTCCATTCTATTCTAATTCAGTGTTCTAATCTATTCTGTATTCTATTCTAATCTACTATTTTATTCTTTATTCTATTCTATTCTACTAAATTCTACTCTATTTTACTCTCTATTCTTTTCTATTCCATTCTATTCTATTCTATTCTATTCTACTAAATTATATTCTATTCTCTATTCTGTTCTTAATTCTATTCTATCTTATTCTATTGTATTCTATTTATTCTATTCTATTCTACTAAATTCTATTCTATTCTATTAATTCTATTCTATTCTACTAAATTCTATTCTATATTCTATTCTTAATTCTATTCTTTTCTATTCTATTATACTAAATTCTATTCTCTGTTCTGTTCTTAATTCTATTCTATTCTATTCTACTAAATTCTATTCTCTATTTTATTCTTAATTCTATTCTATTCTATTCTATTCTCTGTTCTATTCTTAATTCTAGTCTAGTCTATTCTCTTCTCCTTTCTCTATTCTATGCTATGCTATGCTATTCTCTTCTATTCTATTCTTTATTCTATTCCCGTTCTGTTCTATTCCTTGGATGGGGCCGGTGGTCTGCCTCCTCGCCCTTCAAGGGGCTCTCTGCACCACCACCCCCTTCTGGGTCCCCAAGGAGTGTGCGAGGGCTGTGTGTGGGGTGCCCCCTCCCCACTGACGGCGCTCTCCCTGCAGGTTATGCTGCCCCCACTCCCCCCTCTGAGCCCTAAGGAGAGCGAGAAGGGCTAAGGGGGGGTCCAGGCTGCCTACTTTATCCACCCCGCCGGAGGGAGGGACATCGCCATGAGCCGCCCGCGGACCGCCGGTGCCTCCGAAGGGGTGAGTAGCCTTGGGGGGGGGTGCTGGGATTCGGCAGAGACCCCCCCTCCCCGGCGGGCATCGCTGGTACCGCCCTGGCCAGCAGGCATGGGTGGGTCTTGGAGCCCTGGGCCTAAATGCAGAGCAGGCCCAAATCGGACCCTTGGGGGGGGGCTTCACCCCAGGCCATCTTCCCTTCTCTCCCCCCCCCAATATGGGTCAGGGTTTTGCCCCTCCTGCTCTCTGGACATCTGATTACATACCCCTCCCTCCCTCCTTTCCTCCCTCCCTTCCCCATTGCCCAGTCTGGATCCCAAAGGTCATCTAGACCAACCCCCCCTCCGTGTCCTCCTGCCTCATCCCAGCCTTTTCGGGGTTCTGCATCTCCCCCTCAGCCGGTTGGTGGGGGGGCTTGGGAAAGGTCCAGCCGCCCGGGGGGGGGCTGCCCCTTCCGCCCCCCTCGTGGCCATTTCTTCAGGATGTGCAAGCTGAAGGGGATCCCCTCCCCGCTTTAGGGGCTTGGAGGAGCCACGGAATTAACGGAGGGCCCCCACGCACGAGGGGGCCCTGTGGTAGGTCTTCCTGGGCTCGCAAGGACCCCTTTGATGAGCAGAGGGGCGGGGGGGGCTGGCTGTGCGTGGAGGGCCTGACCCGCAGCCACAAAGGGGACGTGGACCTGAGTTTTGCCTGCCAATTCCCTTCCCCCCCCCAGGTGTAGTGGTGGGTGCTTTGGGTGGGCCTAATGGACCCAGAGGGGGCTGGGGGGATCTGCATGGCCCCCCTGCCTCTGCTCCAAGCTGAGCTCTTTGGGGGGGGGAGGTTCAGGCAATGGACTATCCAGCACCCAGTGAATAGGATAGGATAGGATAGGACAGGACAGGACAGGACAGGATAGTATAAGAATAGAATAGAATAGAATAGAATAGAATAGAATAGAATAGAATAGAATAGAATAGAATAGAAATAAGAATGGAATAGAATAGAATAGAATTAAGAATAGAATAGAAATAAGAATAGAATAGAATAAAATAGAATAGAATAGAACAATAGAATAGAATAGAATAGAATAGAATAGAATAGAATAGAATAGAATAGAATAGAATAGAATAGAATAGAATTAAGGATAGGATAGGATAGAATTAAGAATAGAAATAAGAATAGAATAGAATAGAAATAAGAATAGAATAATAGACCAGAACAGAATAGAATAGGAAAGAATAAGGATAGGATAGGATAGAATTGAATAGGATAGAACTGAATAGGATAGAATTGAATAAAGAATAAAAATAACAGATTGTAGGATAGAATAAATAGAATAGAATAGAATAGAGGAATGAAGAATAGAATAGAATATAGAATAGAGTAGAATAGAATAGAACAGAATAGAATAGAATAGAATATAGAATAGAATTGAATAGGATAGAATTGAATAGAACAGAATAAAATACAGGAAAAGAATAGAATAGAATATAGAATAGAATTGAATAGGATAGAATTGAATAAAAATAACAGATTGTAGAATAGAATAGGAAAGAATAAGAATAGGATAAGATAGAATTGAATAGGATAGAATTGAATATAGAATAAAAATAACAGATTGTAGGATAGAATAAATAGAATAGAATAGAATCGAATTACAGAATAGAATAGAATAGAATAGAATAGAATAGAATAGAATAGAATAGAATAGGAGCTGGAAGGGACCTTGGAGGTCTTCTAGTCCAGCCCCTGCTCCAGCAGGAGAATGAAGGATCTGCTGGCCTCCATGACCTGGAGCGAAGGAGTCTGGGCGAGCCTTCCTGAGTGGCGTTTGTGTCAGACAGGGCCCCTGGTTCACATCTGTCCAGATCCTTGCGGACCCCGAGTTTGTCTCCAGGGGGGTGTCGGCCGCTGCTGCCCACTTTGGTGTCCTCCGCCCATTTGATGGCTTCCCCCTTCGATTTTAAGTCCTTGATGGTTGAAGAGTCTACTGGGCCTGGGACAGGGAGCCCGGTGGTCCTCCACTGCGTACTTCCCTCCGTGGAGACGTAGTAACATTAAGGACTACTCGCTGAGTAGGCTTCGCCAAATCCGTCCGGCGGAGATGTTGTCCATCCCGGCTTTTTCTAGCTGAGCAAGGAGTAGGATGGGGGGGGGGTCTCCTCTGTCAGAGGCCTGGCCAGAAGTCCGAGTAAAGACGGAGTAAATATGGAGGAGTCCGCGGCCTTTCGCTGGTCCTCTAGTTTACTCACCTTGTGAAAGAAGGGGACGAGGATCTGTTTTACACACCCTCCTCCGGGCCACTGGTAGCCTGGCTGATCCCCCCAGCCCCCCCCCGTGCAGTGATAAAAACACCAAATTTAAAAAAATATTAAACAGACGAGCCCATTAAAAGCCAGCAAATGTGTGTTTGGGGGGGGGGAGTCCGAGGCGAGAAGACGTAAAGGGTGACTTTGGAAGGACGCTGGACCCAGCTTGGGTTGGGGAGCCAGGCGGCCCTCGGCGGGGGGGGGGGGCGGTTCTGCAGTGCCAGGCGCCGCTGTCACACACACACACACACACACACACACACACACACCCCTCCGGAGCGCTCCCTTGAATAAACGCGGGAGGGGAGGGGGAGGGAGGAAGGAGCAGGAGAAAGAAGGAAGGAAGGAAGGAAGGAAGGAAGGAAGGAAGGAAGGAAGGAGCAGGAGAAAGAATGAAGGGAAGGAGGAAAAGGAGCAGGAGAATGAATGAAGGAGGGAAGGGAGGGAGGATCAGGAGAAGAAGGGGGGAGGGAGGGAGGGAGGGAGGGAGGAGCAGGAGAAAGAAGGACGGGAGGAGAGAAGGAAGGCAGGAGAGCAGGAAAGAATGAGAAGGAAAAGGAAGGAGGATGGAAGGAGGGAGGAGGATCAGGAGAAAGAGGGAGGGAGGGAGGGAGGGAGGAGCAGGAGAAAGAAGGACGGGAGGGAGAAGGAAGGAAGGAAAGAGCAGGAGAAAGAATGGAGGGAGGGAGGAAGGAGGAGGAGAAAGAAGGAAGGGAGGGAGGAAAAGGAGCAGGAGAATGAATGAAGGAGGGGAGGGAGGGAGGGAGGGAGGATCAGGAGAAAGAAGGGAGGAAGGAAGGGAGGGAGGAGCAGGAGAAAGAAGGACGGGAGGGAGAAGGAAGGAAGGAAGGAAGGAAGGAAGGAAGGAAAGAGCAGGAGAAAGAATGGAGGAGAGGGAGGAAGGAGCAGGAGGAAGAATGAATGAAGGAGGGAAGGAAGAAAGGAAGGAGTAGGAGAAAGAAGGGAGGGAGGGAGGAGCAGGAGAATGAATGAAGGAGGGAAGGGAGGGAGGGAGGGAGGGAGGATCAGGAGAAAGAAGGGAGGAAGGAAGGAAGGGAGGGAGGAGCAGGAGAAGGAAGGAAGGAAGGAAGGAAGGAAGGAAGGAAAGAGCAGGAGAAAGAATGGAGGGAGGGAGGAAGGAGCAGGAGGAAGAATGAATGAAGGAGGGAAGGAAGAAAGGAAGGAGTAGGAGAAAGAAGGGAGGGAGGGAGGAGCAGGAGAATGAATGAAGGAGGGAAGGGAGGGAGGGAGGGAGGATCAGGAGAAAGAAGGGAGGAAGGAAGGAAGGGAGGGAGGAGCAGGAGAAAGAAGGACGGGAGGGAGAAGGAAGGAAGGAAGGAAGGAAGGAAGGAAGGAAGGAAGGAGCAGGAGAAAGAATGGAGGGAGGGAGGAAGGAGCAGGAGGAAGAATGAATGAAGGAGGGAAGGAAGAAAGGAAGGAGTAGGAGAAAGGAGGGAGGGAGGAGCAGGAGAATGAATGAAGGAGGGAGGGAGGGAGGATCAGGAGAAAGAAGGGAGGAAGGAAGGAAGGGAGGGAGGAGCAGGAGAAGGAAGGAAGGAAGGAAGGAAGGAAGGAAGGAAGGAAGGAAGGAAGGAAGGAGCAGGAGAAAGAATGGAGGGAGGGAGGAAGGAGCAGGAGGAAGAATGAATGAAGGAGGGAAGGAAGAAAGGAAGGAGTAGGAGAAAGAAGGGAGGGAGGGAGGAGCAGGAGAATGAATGAAGGAGGGAAGGGAGGGAGGGAGGGAGGATCAGGAGAAAGAAGGGAGGAAGGAAGGAAGGGAGGGAGGAGCAGGAGAAAGAAGGACGGGAGGGAGAAGGAAGGAAGGAAGGAAGGAAGGAAGGAAGGAAGGAAGGAGCAGGAGAAAGAATGGAGGGAGGGAGGAAGGAGCAGGAGGAAGAATGAATGAAGGAGGGAAGGAAGAAAGGAAGGAGTAGGAGAAAGGAGGGAGGGAGGAGCAGGAGAATGAATGAAGGAGGGAGGGAGGGAGGATCAGGAGAAAGAAGGGAGGAAGGAAGGAAGGGAGGGAGGAGCAGGAGAAAGAAGGACGGGAGGGAGAAGGAAGGAAGGAAGGAAGGAAGGAAGGAAGGAAGGAAGGAAGGAAAGAGCAGGAGAAAGAATGGAGGGAGGGAGGAAGGAGCAGGAGGAAGAATGAATGAAGGAGGGAAGGAAGAAAGGAAGGAGTAGGAGAAAGAAGGGAGGGAGGGAGGAGCAGGAGAAAGAATGAATGAAGGAGGGAAGGAAGGAAGGAAGGAGCCAGAGTAAGAAGGAAGGAAGGAAGGAGCAAGAGAAGGAAGGAAGGAAGGAGCCAGAGAAAGAAGGGAGGGAGGCCAAGCAGGGCCCAGGTGGGCGCAGAAGTGAAGCAGACTGGAGAACCAAGGCCAGGACTCCTGGGCCTGGCTGGGGCAGCCAATGGCAGAGCTGGGCCAGCCACTCCCGAGACCATGTGCCACCTCTGTCCCTCGCTCAAACCGCCCCCCCCAGACCTGCACCAGGACCGCTCGGCTGGGTCCACCCCCCACCCCCCCCACCCCACTTCGATCAGCCGACGCTACCGGAGGTTTTCCTGCGATTGTGGGGGCTGTTGCACTCTGCCCGTGCTCAGAGGCAGCTCCCGCGGGGGAGCAGCCTGGGAAGAGGAGAAGGGTGGGAGTTTTCCCCCCTCCCCGTTGGGGGGGGGGTCTTGCAGCCTCCCGCCTGGGCAGGGGGGTTTCTGGGGGGTGGGGGCACCCCTTCTTCCCCGGGGGGGGGAGGATGGGGGAAGAGGCGGTGGATGCGAATCCTGCCCGTCCCGCGAATCTTTGGGGAGGGAGGGAGGGAGGGGCCGGCTCTGCAGACCTTGCGCGGGTCACCTTGAGGGGGGGGGCGCGGCGGTGCAAGGGGGGGGCAGGACCGGCCGCCGCCGCCGCCGATCAGTCAATATTTGGAGTGGCAGGCGGGCGATGGAGCCGCCGTCCCCCCCCCCGACCTTCCCCGCCGCCCACGGACACATAAATCCCGCGGGCGGCGGGGAGAGGCGGCCGGGCTGGCAGACGGAGCATCATGGCTCAGGTGGGCGGTGGGTGGGGGTCCCCATGGGGGGTTGGGTGGGGGTCTAGGAAGCCGCGGAGAGCACAGGAGGGGGCTTCCCATGGGGTGCTGGGTTGGGGTCCCCATGGGGTGCTGGGTGGGGGTCTCGGAAGCCGCGGAGAGCACCGGATGGGGGGTCCCCATGGGGTGCTGGGTGGGGGTCTCGGACGCCGCGGGGAGCACCGGGTGGGGGTTACTATGGGATGCTGGGTGGGGGTCTCGGAAGCCACGGAGAGCACCGGGTGGGGGTTCCCATGGGATGCTGGGTGGGGGTCTCAGACGCCGCAGGGAGCCCTGGGTGGGGGTCTCGGACGCCGCGGAGAGAAACGGGTGGGGGTCCCCATGGGGTGCTGCTTGGGGGTCTCGGACGCCGCGGGGAGCACCGGGTGGGCGTTACTGTGGGGTGCTGGGTGGGGGTCTCGGAAGCCACGGAGAGCACCGGGTGGGCGTTACTGTGGGGTGCTGGGTGGGGGTCTCGGAAGCCACGGAGAGCACCTGGTGGGGGTCCCCATGGGGTGCTGGGTGGGGGTCTCGGAAGCCGCGGGCAGCACCGGATGGGGGTTCCCATGGGATGGTGAGTGGGGGTCTCGGACGCCGCGGGGAGCCCTGGGTGGGGGTTCCCATGGGATGGTGAGTGCGGGTCTCGGAAGCGGCGGAGACCGCCGGATGTGGGTCCCCATGGGGTGCTGGGTGGGGGTCTCGGAAGCCGCGGGGAGGCCGGGTGGGGGTCCCCATTGGGTGCTGGGTGGGGGTCTCGGAAGCCATGGAGAGCACCTGGTGGGGGTCCCCATGGGGTGCTGGGTGGGGGTCTCGGAAGCCACGGAGAGCACCTGGTGGGGGTCCCCATGGGGTGCTGGGTGGGGGTCTCGGAAGCCGCGGGGAGCGCCGGGTGGGTGGTCCCCATGGGGTGCTGGGTGGGGGTCTCGGAAGCCACGGAGAGCACCTGGTGGGGGTCCCCATGGGGTGCTGGGTGGGGGTCTCGGAAGCCACGGAGAGCACCGGGTGGGTGGTCCCCATGGGGTGCCGGGCGGGGGTCTCGGAAGCCGCGGGGAGCCCTGGGTGGGGGTCCCGATGGGGGTCTCGGGTGGGGGGTCCGGCCCGGCGCTCACGGGTCTCGCTTGGCCTTCCTCTCGGCAGCCGGAGCCCCCCGCCTCGCCCGCCTCGGCGCGGCCGGAGGAAGCGGCGGCGGCGGCGGACGAGGAGAGGGACCTGGCCCGGGCGCTGCGCGTGGAGCGCTTCGAGGAGCTGCTGCAGGATGCCCACCCGCGCGGCGTGGACGAGGCGGGCCGCAGCTACAGCGAGGAGGACTTTGAATGTAGGTCCGAGGGAGGGGGCGGTGGGGAGGGGGCGGCAGTCTTGGGGGGGCAGAGGGAGGGGGCAGCTCTTCCCAGGGACTATGGGGAGGGGGCTGGAGGCTTTGGGGTTCAGAAGGAAGGGCATTGACTATGGGGAAGGGGGCTGGAGCCTTTGGGGTGCAGAGGGAGGGGGCAGTGACTATGGGAAGGGGGCTGGAGTCTTTGGGGCATGGAGGGAGGGGGCAGTGAGTATGGGCAGGGGGGCTGGAGCCTTTGGGACACAGGGAGGGGGCAGTGACTATGGGGAGGGGGCTGGAGTCTTTGGGGCATGGAGGGAGGGGGCAGTGAGTATGGGGAGGCGGCTGAAGACTTGGGGGTGCAGAGGGAGGGGCCAGTGACTATGGGGAGGGGGCTGCAGCCTTGGGGGCACAGAGGGAGGGGGAAGAGACTATGGGGAGGGGGTTGCAGCCTTGGGGGCGCAGAGGGAGGGGGCAGTGATTATGGGGAGGGGGCTGGAGTCTTTGGGGCATGGAGGGAGGGGGCAGTCAGTATAGGGAGGGGGCTGGAGTCTTTGGGTGCAGAGGGAGAGGGAAGAGACTATGGGGAGGGGGCTGCAGCCTTGGGGGCGCAGAGGGAGGGGGCAGTGAGTATGGGGAGGGGGCTGGAGTCTTTGGGGTTCAGAGGGAGGGGCAGTGACTATGGGGAGGGGGGTGCAGCCTTGGGAGCGCGGAGGGAGGGGGCCAGGTCTTCCCAGGGGCTATGGGGAAGGGGCTGGAGTCTTTGGGGCGTGGAGGGAGGGGGCAGTCAGTATAGGGAGGGGGCTGGAGCCTTTTGGGTTCAGAAGGAGGGGCAGTGACTATGGGGAGGGGGCTGCAGCCTTGGGGGCGCAGAGGGAGGGGGCAGTGATTATGGGGAGGGGGCTGGAGTCTTTGGGGCATGGAGGGAGGGGGCAGTCAGTATAGGGAGGGGGCTGGAGTCTTTGGGTGCAGAGGGAGAGGGAAGAGACTATGGGGAGGGGGCTGCAGCCTTGGGGGTGCAGAGGGAGGGGGGCAGCTGTTCCCAGGGACTATGGGGAGGGGGCTGCAGCCTGGAGGGAGACAGAGGGAGGGGGGGCAGGTCTTCCTTGAGACCATGGGGAGGGGGCTGCATCGGAGGGACACAGAGGCAGGTCTTCCCAGGGACAATGGGGAGGGGGCTGCAGTCTTTGGGGTGCAGAGGGAGGGCGGCAGCTCTTCCCAGAGGCTACGGGGAGGGGGGCCCGGTGGGAGTCACCCCGCTTGCTTCCCCCGCAGACCACCGCCAGTCCTCCCGTCACACCCACCACCCCCTCTCGGCCCACCTGCCCTCCGAGGGCCGGCGGAAGAAGGGGGCACCCAGGAAGGCCAGGAAGAAGCCGGCGGGAGCCAGCCGGGCCCGGGCCTCGGGGGCCGGGGAGACCCCCACCATCCAGGAGGAAAGCGAAGGGGCGCCGGAGGAGGAGGAGGAGGAGGAAGAGGAGGATGACCCCTGCGACACGGAGACGGAGCCCAGCCCACAGGAGGGGCTGCCCCACAGCTCGCCCGATGGGGTGCAGGTAGGGGCCACGGGGAGGGGAGGGGGTACGGGGGAGGGCAAAGGGGAGGGGTCTCCCTTCCCCCTCGGGGCTGACCCCCCCCCCCTTTCTGCCCGGCACAGTTCTTCCTGCAGGAGGACGACGCCGACCGGCAGACCCCCCTCTCCGGGGAGAAGGCTCCGCCCTCGGGGCCCGGGGCCGAGGACGCCGGGGGTCCCCCGGCGGCGGGGGGGCCCAAGTCCAGCAGGTGAGGAAGGGGCTTCCGGGGATGGGGGGGGCTCCAACGCTGGAAGTTTTTAAGAAGAGGCTGGACAGCCCTTTGCCTGCAATGGGATAGGGTTTCCCGCCTGAGCAGGGGGTGGGACTGGATGACCTCCAAGGTCCCTTCCAACTTTATTATTATTATTATGGATCATCGCACAGTCAGCCAGATGTTCAGACTGGATTTGGCATTTTGTCTACCTATCGAGTCCTTACCCAGGACCTGGGATAGGCAGATGTGGATGTTTGATTGTATTACAGGTATCGTCGCAGGATGGAAGCAGTTCCTAATAAGGCCGCCTTTTGCAATTGACTAATAGCAAATTTGTCAATGCCAATGGTGTTCAAGTGGTGCTCCAGTTGTTTTGGGATTGCACCCAAGGCGCCTATTACTGGCGCTTCGTCGCTGGAGGTTTTTAAGGAGAGGCTGGACAGTCAGTTGTCAATCAGATGGCATACGTTCTCCTGACTGAGCGGGGGGGGGGGGTTGGACTAGATGACCTCTGGGGTCCCTTACAGTTTCTATTCTATTCTAATCTAATATTAGCTCTTCTGTTCAGTAAGGATTGGACTAGATGACCTCCAAGGTCCCTTCCAACTTTATTATGATTGTTGTTGTTGTTGTTGTTATTATTATTATTATTATTATTATTAAGAGACTGGACAGCCATTTGTCTGAAATGGTATATAGGATTTCCTGCCTGAGCAGGGGGTTGGACTAGATGACCTCCAAGGTCCCTTCCAACTTTATTAAGATTATTATTATTATTATGAAGAGACTGGATAGCCTTTTGTCCGAAATGGTATATAGGGTTTCCTGCCTGAGCAGGGGGTTGGACTAGATGACCTCCAAGGTCTCTTCCAACTTTATTATGATTATTGTTGTTATTGTTATTGTTACTGTGAAGAGACTGGACAGCCATTTGTCTGAAATGGGATAGGGTTTCCTGCCTGAGCAGGGGGTTGGACTAGATGACCTCCAAGGTCCCTTCCCACTTTATTATTATTATTATTATTATTATTATTATTATTATTATTATGAGACTGGACAGCCATTTGTCCGAAATGGTATATAGGGTTTCCTGCCTGAGCAGGGGGTTGGACTAGATGAACTCCAAGGTCCCTTCCAACTTTATTATGATTATTGTTGTTATTGTTATTGTTACTGTGAAGAGACTGGACAGCCATTTGTCTGAAATGGGATAGGGTTTTCTGCCTGAGGAGGGGGTTGGACCAGATGACCTCCAAGGTCCCTTCCCACTTTATTATTATTATTATTATTATTATTATTATTATTATTATTACTACTACTACTACTACTACTAAGAGACTGGACAGCCATTTGTCTGAAATGGTCTAGGGTTTCCTGCCTGAGCAGGGGATTGGACTAGATGATCTCCAAGGTCCCTTCCAACTTTATTATTATTGTTGTTATTGTTATTGTTACTATGAAGAGACTGGACAGCCATTTGTCCAAAATGGTATATAGGGTTTCCTGCCTGAGCAGGGGGTTGGACTAGATGACCTCCAAGGTCCCTTCCCACTTTATTATCATTATTATTATAATGCTGGGGAATTTGGGAGAGGAAAGGAGAGGGGGGGGAGCCGGTGGCACCCGTGTGGCTCAGCCGGGGACCCTTTTCCCGCAGCTCCGACCTGGAGGACTCTGGGGGGGGCGAGGGGGGCTCCCCCCCGGGCCGCCCCCTCCCCAAAGCGCAGCTGGGACACCGCAGCTACAACCTGAACGAACGGCGGCGCATCGGGAGCATGACGGGCACGGAGCAGGCCCAGTACCAGAAGGTGCCCACCGACGAGTCGGAAGCCCTGACCTTGGCCTCGGCCGACCTGGACTACATGAAGAGTGAGCTGGGCGGGGAGGAGGGAGGGGGGGCAGGCAAGGGTCCCCGGGGGTCTCCTGGGCTGGGAGGAGGGGGGGGGGTCAAGCTGTCCTCCCAAGCGCCAGAGGGGGGGGGGGACACGAGAAACCACGGTCGGAAACGGACCAGAGAGAGAAGTGACCTGGCATGAAAGGAGCAAAGTCCGGACCGGGGGGGGGGGCGATTAACCGGTGGAACTGCTGGCCACCAGAAATGGTGGGCGCTCCGTCGCTGGAGGATGTTAAGGAGAGGCTGGACAGTCAGCCGTCTGAGATGGCGTACATTCTCCTGACTGAGCGGGGGGGTAGGGTGTTGGACTTGATGACCTCTGGGGTTCCCTTACAGCTTCTCTTCTAATCTAAATCTTAGCTCTGTTGTTCTGTAAAGGTCTCCCACTTGAGGAGGGGGTTGGACTAGATGACCTCTGAGGTCCCTTCGAACTATCCTATCCTATCCTATCCTATTCTATTCTATTCACTCTGCTGTTCTGTAAGGGTCTCCTGTTTGAGCAGGGGGTTGGACTAGATGACCTCCGAGGTCCCTTCCAATTCTATTCTGTTCTATTCCATTAATTCTATATTCTATTCCATTCCTTATTTCTATTCTTATTTCTATTCTATTCTATTCTTAACTCTGTTGTTCTGTAAGGGTCTCCTGCTTGACCAAGGGGTTGGACTAGATGACCTCTGAGGTCCCTTCCAACTATTCTATTCTATTTTCTATTCTATTCTATATTCTATTCTATTATTCTATTCTATTATTCTATTCTATTCTATTCTTAACTCTGTTGTTCTGTAAGGGTCTCCTGCTTGAGAAGGGGGTTGGACTAGATGACCTCCGAGGTGCTTTCCAATTCTATTCTGTTCTATTGTATTCTATTAATTCTATATTGTGTTCTATTCTATTCTATTCCTTATTTCTATTCTTATTTCTATTCTATTCTGTTCTATTGTTAACTCTGTTGTTCTGTAAGGGTCTCCTGCTTGAGCAGGGGGTTGGACTAGATGACCTCTGAGGTCCCTTCCAACTATTCTATTCTATTTCTATTTCGCCCTCTGTCCGTGCTGATGGGAGTGTGTCTGTGTGGTAACCTCAGGCCTGCAATCTGAGTGCAGAGACCCCCCCCACCCTCCTTGGAGGCCTGGGTGGGAGGGGGGTAGGGGTCTCCCCCGGGACCATTTCCCCCCCCCACCTTCCCCATATCCTCCCCTGCAGGTCACCGATTCGAGGACGTGCCCGGCGTCCGCCGCCACCTGGTCCGGAAAGGCGCCAAAGGGCAGGTGGTGCACCTGGGCAAGGACCGGCCGGAGGCCAGCGCCCGCCTGCGCAAGCACGACCGGAAGCCCCACGAGGTAGTTGAGCCGGGGTAGGGGGGATGCGGTGGCGAGTTCGAGTCATCGGACCGGAGCCCGGGTCTGCAAACCCTGCTCTTCAGGGGGAAGCTGCAATCCACCCGCCCACCCACTGCGGACCGGGTAGTTGGGTGGGTGAGGGAGTGAGTGGTCTCGCCGCTGCCGGCCCCCCGTCTGAGCCCGGCTCTCGAACCCAGATCCCCCCCCCCAGGTCTTCGTGGAGCTGAACGAGCTGATGCAGGACAAGAACCAGGAGCTGCAGTGGAAGGAGACGGCCCGCTGGATCAAGTTTGAGGAGGACGTGGAGGAGGAGACGGACCGGTGGGGCAAGCCCCACGTGGCCTCCCTGTCCTTCCGGAGCCTGCTGGAGCTGCGCCGGACCCTCGCCCACGGTAGGCGGGCCGGGGGGGGGCGCGACCCCGGAGGAGACCCTAAGGACCCAGAGGGCAGGGGAGGTTGGGGGGGGGTCTGAATCCTTCCTTCGAGCCCCCTTGGACCCTCCTCGGCCGGGGGGGGGAGGAGCTGTTTTCCTGCTGGAGCAGGGGGCTGGACTGGAGGACCTCGCGGGTCCCGTCCAGCTCCGGTTCTGTTTTCTGTTCTGTTCTGTTTCCTATTCTATTCTGTTGTTTCTTCTGTTGTTTTCCATTTTCGATTCTATTTTCTATTCTATTCTATTCTCATTATTTTATCTATTCTATTCTATATTTGTTCTGTTCTGTTCTGTTCTATCTTATTGAATTCTATTCTATTCTGTTCTATGTTCTGTTGTGTTCTATTCTATTCACATTCTATTATTTTCTATTCTATGATTTTCTATTCTATTCTATTTTCTATTCTATTTTGTTCTATTTTATTCTATTTTTTATTTTTTGTTCTATTTTCTATTCTATTCTATTTTCCATTCTATTCTATTATCATTATTTTATCTATTCTATTCTATTTGTTCTGTTCTATTCTATTTTCTATTGTCCTATTGAATTTTATTCTATTCTGTTGTGTTCTATGTTCTGTTGTGTTCTATTCTATTCACATTCTATTATATTCATATTGTATTCTGTTCTATTCTATTATTTTCTATTCAATTTTCTGTTTAATTATTTTCTATTCTATTTTCTGTTCTATTCTATTTTGTTCTATTTTATTCTATTTTTATTTTTTATTCTATTCTATTTTCTATTCCTGTTTATTCTATTCCTGTTTATTCTATTCTATTATCTACTATTCTGTTCTATTCCTTATTTATTCGATTCTATTCTATTTTCTATTCTATTTTCTATTCTGTCCTATTGAATTCTATTCTATTCTGTTCTGTTCACATTCTATTATATTCATATTCTATTCTGTTATATTCTATTATTTTCTATTCAATTTTCTGTTCAATTATTTTGTATTCTATTCTATTTTCTATTCTATTCCATTCTGTTTTATTCTATTTTTATTTTTTTATTCTGTTCTGTTTTCTATTCTATTTTCTATTCTATTCCTGTTTATTCTATTCTATTCGTGTTTATTCTATTCGTGTTTATTCTATTCCTGTTTATTCTATTGTATTCCTATTCTATTCTATTCCATTCCATTCCATTCTATTCCTATCCCATTCTATTCTGTATTTCTACTCTGTATTTCTATTCTGTTCTGTTCTGTTCTGTTCTATTCATATTCTATTCTATTCTATTCCCTATTCTATTCTATTCTTGTCCATTCCATTGTTCTATCCTATCCTATCCGATTGTTAATCCTATCCTCTTCTTAATTATATTTTAAATTCCATTCCATTCTAATCCATCCTCACCTGAGTGAGAAGGAGGGAGGGGCAGGATGGAGGGGGGGGGGCTTCCCTGAGGAAACCGGCTCCTTGTGTCTGGGTTGACAAGAGGAGAGCCGAGGCAGGTCCTTGGGGGGGGGCTCTGTAATCAGGGCTGGGTGGCGGAGCAAAAGCCGAGCCCTTCCTCCCCCCCCCCCCCCGCGTGGGTGAGGAATAATCCCAAAGGGAAACTGAGGCTGGCAATGGATCGGAGAGGAGAGCCGAGGCAGGTCCTTGGGGGGGGGGGCTCTGTAATCAGGGCTGGGTGGCGGAGCAAAAGCCGAGCCCTTCCTCCCCCCCCCCGCGTGGGTGAGGAATAATCCCAAAGGGAAACTGAGGCTGGCAATGGATCGGAGAGCGTCCGCTTATCGCCTGAAGGGAGGGGCCAGGAGCAGCCGACACAAGTGGACCCCACTGCCGGGGGGGGGGGGTTTTTCCTACGGTTCTCGCCCAGGGAACGGGGGGGGGGCAGTAGGTGCGGCTGGTTGAGAGTGCCCACCCTCCCTCCCTTCCTCCTCTCCCCTCCCCCCCCTGCAGGCGCCGTCCTGCTGGACCTGGACCAGAAGACGCTGCCGGGGGTGGCCCACCAAGTGGTGGAGCAGATGATCATCTCCGACCAGATCCGCGCCGAGGACCGGGCCAACGTGCTGCGGGCGCTGCTGCTGAAGCACAGGTGAGCGGGGTGGAGGTGCCCCCCCCCGCCCGGGGCCAAAGGAGAGAGGGAGGCAGGGAAGGTCACACACATGCACGCACGCACGCACCCCTCCGTCGCCCAGCCGAAAGACCCGGAGTGGGCCGGGATCGCCCCGTGTCGGGCCTGCCAGCTTCCCCGAAACCCATCTCCCTCCCTCTGGTTCTGCCACGGGGGCACCGCAGACGCTGGGCAGGGCAGAGCTGGATGCGCTAGTGCTCTCTCTCCCTCTCTGTCTCTCCTCTCCCTCCCTCCCTCCCCGTCTCTCCCCCTCTCTCCCTCTCTGTCTCTCCTTCTCTCTCCCTCTCTCTCTCTCTCTCTCCCTCTTTCTCTCCCTCTCTCTGTCGCTCTCCCTCTCCCTCCCTCTCCATCCCTTTCTCCCTCCCACGTCTCTCCCCCTCCCCCTCTCTCTGTCTCTTTCCCTTTCTCACTCCCTCCCCGTCTCTCTGTCTCTCTCCCTCTGTGTCTCTCCTTCTCTCTCCCTCTCTCTCTCTCTCTCTCTCTCCTCTCTCCCTCTTTCTCTCCCTCTCTCCGTCTCCCTCCCTCTCCATCCCTTTCTCCCTCCCACGTCTCTCCCCCTCCCCCTCCCCCCTCTCTGTCTCTTTCCCTTTCTCCCTCCCTCCCCGTCTCTCCGTCTCTCTCCCTCTCTGTCTCTCCTTCTCTCTCCCTCTCTCTCTCTCCTTCCCTCCCCGTCTCTCTTTCTCTCTCCCCCTCTCCCTCCCTCTCTTTCCCTTTCTCCCTCTCTCCCCGTCTCTCTGTCTCTCTCCCTCTCTCACCCTCTCCCTCTCCTCTGTCTCCCTCTCTCCCCTTTCCCTTTCTCCCTCCCTCATCTCTCCCTCCCTCTCCCTCTCTCTGTCTCTCTCCCTTTCCCTCTCCATCCCTTTCTCCCTCTCTCCCCGTCTCTCTCCCTCTCCCCCTCTCCCTCCCTCTCTCTCACCCTCTCCCTTCCTCTCCTCTCCCTCCCTCTCCCCCTCCCTCTCCTCTCTCCCTCTTCCCTTTCTCCCTCGTCTCTCTCTCCCTCCCCCTTTCCCTCTCTCTGTCTCTCTCCCTCTCCCTCCCTCTCCCTCCCTTTCTCCCTCCTTCCTCTCTCTCCCTCCCCCTCTCCCTCTCTCTGTCTCTCTCCCTTTCTCCCTCTCTCCCCGTCTCTCTGTCTCTCCCCCTCTCCCTTTCTCTCCTCTGTCTCCCTCTCTCCCCCTCCCTCTCCTCTGTCCCTCTCTCCCCCTTCCCTTTCTCCCTCCCTCGTCCCTCTCTCTGTCTCTTTCCCTTTCTCCCTCTGTCCCCGTCTCTCTGTGTCTCTCCCTCTCCCTCCCTCTCTCCCTCTCTATTAGCCTCTCCCTCCCCTTTCTCCCTCCCCCCTCTCCCTGTCTCTTTCCCTTTCTCCCTCTCCCTTTTTGTCTTCCCCTCCCTCCCTCTCCCACCCTCTCTTCTCTCTCCCTCTCCCTCGCTCCCTCCCTCTCCTCTCTCTCCCTCTCAATCTCTCTCTCTCGCGCTCTCCCTGTCCCGCAGCCACCCCTGTGACGAGAAAGAGTTCTCCTTCCCTCGCAATATCTCGGCCGGCTCGCTCGGCTCTCTCTTGGGCCACCATCACAGCGCCAACCACGTGGGAGACGGCGGCGAGCCCACCGTCACCGATCCACTCATTGGCCCCGTGGGTGAGCATGAGACGCGGGTGGACGTTGAGAAGGAGGTGAGCTTGCGCAGAGACCCCCTCCGCCTGCTCCAAGGGCAGCCGAGGGGCCCGGACCCTCTGGGTGAGGAAGACACACACACACACACACACACACACACACACACACACACACACACCCTGCGAGAAAAGGAGAGGGAGGGAGGAGAGAAAGTGCTGGGGGGGGCAGGCGTGGCAGCCAGCCCTCTAGGTGGTGGGAGTTAGCTGGTGATGAGAGGTCACCCGATCAGGAGTTGGATGGAGCGGGCCCAGGTTCAAGTTCACTGCAGCTCTCTGAACCAAAGGAACCACGCTGATAGAATCTTTGTGGCTCGGGTTGTGTGGCTGAGTTGCGCCCTCTGCAGTTGGATGGTTTGCTCGCAGACGTCTCGCGACCCCACGAGGGAATGTCATCAGTGTTCGAAAGGACGGCGGTTTGACTGTGGGGTCCTGGGGGCTCTCGGAGCTGGGTGGTTTTCTTGCAGACGTCTCGTGACCCAACTAGGGAACGTCATCGGTGCTAGAGGGATGGGAGGTAGGTTAGGGACCAACCCCTGCCCTCCCTTCCTGCGCTGATGGCGTTACCTCATTCGGCAGAGAAACGTCCACGAGACAACCACCCAGCTCAGAGAGTGCCAAAGGGACCTTGCGATAAGGGGGATCGGGTCCAGGGTGGCGGGTTCGAGTGCCCCCCTCGCCCTCCCCTCCCCTGGGTGGCTTCAGCAGGGAAGCCCGTCCACGCCCGAGGGAAAGACGGGCCACGAATTCCGTTGAGCGTTTATTCATTCCCTAGTCACGCCGAGTGTGGAAAAATCCAGCAGGGGATGAGAAAGCGGGAACGGGCCAGGGCTTCCGTCCTAGCCGAAGACATCCCGGGAAATTACTGCGAGTCCTCGCTTAACGGCTAGTCCTCGCTTAACGACCGATGGGTTTTTTAAGGAACCGCTTGAAGTTACGAGACCCGCAGAAGTCACAGAGCTCGCGGCCCATAAGGCACCCCCCGGCCTCCACACACGGTCAGGGACGCACGCACACACCCCAGGTCCCATGACCACACTCGTGCCATTCCTCGGTCATGTGACCACAGCTCATGATGGTTTTGGGCATGATTTTTTTGGAGGCCAGTTTCCTGCAAAAAAACAAAACAAAAACCCTGGTTACTTCAGGTCATGTGGGTGTGCTCAACTTACAACCCCAATGATTTACGGCTGTAATTCCAGGGTCGATTACAACTGTAAGCCGAGGGCTGCCTGCCTGCCTGGCTGGCTGCCCGCCTGTGATGGGGATTTCAGGCACATGGAGGCCAAGAGCCGACTCGGGACGCTGCGGGGAGGTTTCCCCTGATCTCGTGCAGACGGTCGCGCGGCTCCTTGTCGTGCGGCTTCATTTCAAGAGGGGGGCAGTCCACAGACCCCCCCCTTGCCCCCCACCAAGACCCCTCCCCCAATCCCCTACACGGGCTCCCCTACTGGGAGTGAATTAGGTTTGGGGCGGCTGGAGGAGAATCGAGGGGTGTCGGGGAGGGGCCTTTGCGGGGCGTCCAGCCACCAACGGATTCCGCATCCCATCCTCCCCACCCCACCCACCCACCCCTAGACCCTGCAGAAGGAGGTGGCCTCTCCTGTTTTATCCGGCACCATCACCCGGTCCAAGTCGAAGCATGAGCTGAAGCTGCTAGAGAAGATTCCAGACAACGCCGAGGCCACGGTGGTGCTTGTGGGTAAGGAAATGGGAGGGGGGTCTATAAGGGTCTCCTGCTTGAGCAAGGGGTTGGACTAGATGCCCTCCGAGGTCTCTTACAACTCTTATTCTGATTGATTGATGGATTGAAATGGTCTAGGGTCTCCTGCTTGAGCAGGGGGTTGGACTAGATGACCTCCGAGGTCCCTTCCAACTCTGTTCTGTAATTCTGTAAGGGTCTCCTGCTCGAGCAATGGGGTTGGACTAGATGACCTCCCAGGTCCCTTACAGCTCTTATTCTGATTGATTGATGGATTGAAATGGTCTAGGGTCTCCTGCTTGAGCAGGGGGTTGGACTAGATGACCTCTGAGGTCCCTTCCAACTCTGTCATTCTGTGATTCTGTAAAGGTCTCCTGCCTGAGCAGGGGGTTGGACTAGATGACCTCCGAGGTCCCTTCCAACTCTTATTCTAGGATTCTGTAAGGGTATTCTGCTCGAGCAGGGGGTTGGACTAGATAACCTCCGAGGTCCCTTCCAACTCTATGATTCTCTTATTCTTACTGGGCTCTCTACCCCCGGAGAGGTCTTGGGGGGAGGGGGGCCAGGCCCGGTCAGACACCTTAACCCTCCCTCCGCCTCCTGCAGGCTGCGTGCAGTTCCTGGACCAGCCCACCATGGCCTTCGTGCGGCTGCAGGAGGCAGCCCAGCTGGAGTCCGTGCTGGAGGTGCCGGTGCCGGTCCGCTTCCTCTTCGTGCTGCTGGGCCCGAGCAGCGCCAACATGGACTACCACGAGATCGGTCGCTCCATCTCCACCCTCATGTCCGACAAGGTAGACTCCCGGCCGCGGCGTTGCGGCGTTGCGGGAGGGAGGGGGGCTCTTCCGAAAGGACCCTCGGTCTCCAACGTCGCCCCCTCCCTCTTTGCGCTTGGGGTCCCCAGCAATTCCACGAGGCGGCCTACCTGGCCGACGACCGCCAGGACCTGCTCCAGGCCATCAACGAGTTCCTGGACTGCAGCGTGGTGCTGCCCCCCTCGGAGGTGCAGGGCGACGAGCTGCTGCGGAGCGTGGCCCACTTCCAGCGAGAGATGCTGCGGCGGAGGGAAGAGCAAGAACGGCGGCTGCTGGCCGGGGCCGCCCTGGAGCCCAAGTCGCCGGAGGAGAAAGGTAGGCCGGGACCCCCCCCCCCACCCTGCCGCGGACCCTCGCTTCGGCTTCGAGCACGAGGCTGGGGAGTCGCATTTCACCCCCAAAGTGGGCCAGCATAGCGGTCCTCTGGGCATTCCTCACAATGGAGGGGGTCCCACTGATGGAACCCCCCCCCCAAGGTTCCGCCCTGCTTTTAAACAAATTGTAAAAGTCGGACGATACACACCGTTCAATAATAATAACGAGAACCATAACCATAAGAGTCCTCAAGTTATGACCCCAACTGAGCCCAACTTTTATGTGGCCGAGACATTTGTCCAGCGGGTTTTGCCCAATTTTACGGACTTCCTCGCCACCATTGGGAGTCGCATTGCTGCTTATGTCACTAAGTGAATCTGACTCGCCCGTCGGCTTTGCTCGTCCGGAACCCGGGACGCCGCAACTGCCGTTAATACGAGTCGGTGGCCAAGCGTCTGCATTTTGATCCTGTGACCGGGGGGCGGGGAGGTGTGCTGCAACGGTCGTAACCATAAGTCAACTTTGTCAGTGCCGTCGTCACTTTGAACGGTGGCTCAATGAAGTGTCGTAAGCCGAGGACGGCCTGTCTCTAGTCCTTCCCAAGGACACGGGACAGGCGGATGTGGTGGTTTGATGGTGTGAAAGGGGAGATCAGCTGCTGCACGTCAAGCTGCCTTCCGCCATTGGTGGACATTGACAAACATCCCCATCAGTCAATTGCAAAAGGCTGCCTGATCTGGAGCAGCTGAAATCCAGAATGGAGAAAGAATGTAGCTCAAGGTTGAAATTAGGGTCCTGGGGGGGTCTCTCTGAGCTGGGGGGCTCCCTTGCAGACGTTTCATGGGGTCGCGATGGGTCGGACACAACTTCGCAATTAACAACAACAAGAAGGGAGGGGAGGGAGGGAAAGACTGTCCTTGCGTCTGGTGGTTTTGGCGGGTAGGGCCCCATAGCATCGCCTTGGGAGGAGTTGAAACAGGTTTACGTCCAGAATGCGAGGGGGTCTACAGATATTTTCACAGCCCTCTCTCTTACTCGTGCGGTACACCAGTCCTCAACGGAAGGCAAGGCTGATTGCACGATGGTTTCTTCCCGCAGTCCTAACTCTCCGTTGAAATCTGTACTTTCGCCCTGTTCGGTTGCCGGGCCGAACCCGAGAATTATAGAGGTGTAGGTGACAGACACCGTAATTCCTCCTCGGCGGAAGCAGATCAGCAGATCCTTGAGTTAAGGTTTAGCACAACGATCCAATTGTGGACCGTTGCGGTAGCTGGGGTGGTCCTACAGCGTCGAGTTGGAAACGAGCTGTTTCCACCGGAGCGGAAAGGGTGTTTCCCCAACAGCAGAGGAACAAATGATGGTTTGGGGAGACTCCAGTGCTAATGATTGCTTGTTAGCCATTTGGGGGGGGGGCTCCTCCATTTCGTCTGTCTACAAAACACAATACGGTCTGTTCCGGCTGATTGGCCCATATTTTCTCACCCTACACATACACGACCCTCTTGCAAGTTGGGCTCTTGTTATCACGGTGTGGTGGGATGAGGGGCTCTGGCAGACCCGCTCCCTCCCCTGATTCTCCTTTGCACCCCCAGCCCTGCTGAAGCTGAAGGTGGAGGAGGAGGAAGACGAGTTGGAAGGTGACCCGCTTCAACGCACCGGTCGACTCTTTGGGGGGCTCGTCCGGGACGTCCGTCGGCGTTACCCCAAGTATCTCAGCGATTTCCGGGATGCCCTGGACCCCCAGTGCCTGGCAGCCGTCATCTTCATCTACTTCGCGGCCCTCTCGCCCGCCATCACCTTTGGGGGGCTGCTGGGTGAGCAAAGGAGGGGGCTGGCTTCGGTGGGCCCGGGACTGGCTCGAAGGCCGCAAGGAAGCCGGGGCTCGGGGACCCCCAATGAACCTGGGCTCCCCCCACTGTCTTCTCCTCCAGGCGAGAAGACCAAGGGGCTGATTGGGGTGTCGGAGCTGATCATCTCCACAGCCATCCAGGGCATCCTCTTCTGCCTCCTGGGGGCTCAGCCACTGCTGGTCATCGGCTTCTCGGGGCCCCTCCTGGTCTTTGAGGAAGCCTTTTTCACGGTGAGTTTGAGGGGCCGCCCGGATTACCCGGTCTGCCTGCGGAGGGGCATCTTCTCGGCCGTCGCCTCTCCGCCGCGTCGCCTAAACCAGAGGTGGGAGGCTCTCGGCCCCTTGGGAGCAGGACCCCTTTGGCCCTCGAGCCGCTGAGAACTTTGTCCATCTGCCCGTGGGCAGTTCTGCAACTCGCACGGCCTGGAGTACCTGGTGGGCCGCGTCTGGATCGGCTTCTGGCTCGTCCTGATCGTGCTGGCCATCGTGGCCTTTGAGGGCAGCTTCCTGGTGCGCTTCGTCTCCCGCTTCACCCAGGAGATCTTTGCCTTCCTCATCTCCCTCATCTTCATCTACGAGACTTTCTTCAAGCTCATCAAGGTGACCGGAGGGGTGGAGGGGAGGGTGCCACGGGCGAGATGGGAGGGGAAGGCCTGAGAATCAAGCGGTCTGGCTGGAAAGAGGCTGGGCAGCTCCGCAATGGTGCCCTGGATCACGGATCGGCAACCTGTGGCTCCCAGCCTCCTCTCTCTCTCTCTCTCTCTCTCTCTCTCTCTCTCTCTCTCTCTCTCTCTCTCTCTCTCTCTCTCTCTCTCTCCATGTAAAAAAGAGAGTGGCCTCACCCTGTTCGTTGAGCTGACAAGCTTATTGGGCGGGGCTCCTCCCTTTGCTGCGTCTCAGCAGGAAGCAGGGAGAGGAGGTGAGAGCCAGCCCAATAATGTGTGTTAGCTTGTTACAGAACAGTCTGAAGCCAGCTTGCCAGGTGAGCAGAAGATCAGAGAGAGGGAGGGAGAGAGAGAGAGGGAGAAAGAGAGAAAAGGGGAGGGGAAGAGAGGGAGAGAGAGGGAGGGAGAGGAAGAAGGGGGAGAGGAAAGGGAGGGGGGAGAGGAAAGATGGAGACAAAGGGAGAGAAAGAAAGGAAAGAGAAAGGTAGAGGGATAGGAAAGGGAGAGAAGGAGGAAAGTGAGAGGGAGAGAGAAAGGAAAGAGGCAGAGGAGAGAGAGGAAAGAGAGAAAGAAAGGGAGAAGAAAGAAAAAGAGAAAGGAAAGAGGAAAGAAAAAGGGAGAGGAGAGGAAAGAGAAAGACGAAGAGAAAGAGGGAGAGGAAAGAGAAAGAAAGGGGGCGAGGAGAGGGGAAAGGAAAAGAAAGAGGGAGAGGAGCAAAAGGAAAGAGAAAGAGGAAAGCGCGAGAGAGAGAGAGAGGGAGAAAAAAAGAGAGAGGGAAGGGGGGGAGAGAGAGAGAACTCATGTACAGCAACCTCCATTTCTTTTCAATTAAACTCTTCAATCAAGGCTCTTCCCCCCCCCTCGCGCGCGTGCGCACAAGTTTTGCGGCTCCCCGTGTTTTTTTTTCCTCTGGGAAACGGGTCCCAGCAGCTCTTTGGGTAAGGTTGCCGACCCCTGCCCTGGACGTTTCTGCCCCGGGTGACCCCTGAAACCCCGCCCCTGTCCTCCTTCCGGGCAGATCTTCCAGGCGCACCCGCTGCACGGCTGCAGGAACGACACTAGCAGCCTTCCGGAGCCGGAGAACGGGACGGTCAGCCCCAGCTCTTCGGAAATGACCGGCCAGCCCAATACGGCCCTCCTCTCGCTGGTGTTGATGGCCGGCACCTTTTTCATCGCCTTCTTCCTGCGCAAGTTCAAGAACAGCCGTTTCTTCCCCGGCCGGGTGCGTGGCCTCTGCCGGGGGGGTCCCGGAAGCGGGGGGAAGGGCCTGGGGAGACCCTCCCGGCAAACAGGGCAGGAGGCAGGACACTCTGTGCAGGCTCAGAGGCTCCCGGCGCTCTGGGCACTCGAGAGAGTAGTTCCCCAGGGCTGAGCAGGTCTCTCCGGGCAGGTCCGGCGGGTGATCGGAGACTTTGGCGTGCCCATCGCCATCCTCATTATGGTCCTGGTGGATTCCAGCATCCAGGACACTTACACGCAGGTAGGAGTCCCCTTTGGGCCCCCTGCCCCCTAATACCCCCTGCCCGTCGCTTCACCAACAACACGCTCGCTGGCCGCTTTGGCTTTTCCTCTGCCCCTCCCGCCCAGCTCTTTTCTCCTGTCCTTCTCCAGAAGCTGTCGGTGCCCAGCGGCTTCTCAGTCACGTCCCCCGGCCAGCGAGGCTGGGTGATCAACCCTCTGGGCAGTAGCGAGGGCTTCCCGGTATGGATGATGGTGGCCAGCGCGCTGCCGGCCGTTCTGGTTTTCATTCTCATCTTCATGGAGACACAGATCACCACGTGAGTCTTTGCCGGCGGGGGCTCCTCTTCCTGCCTGCCCCCCTCCCCCGCAGCCTTCGGGGCACGTGTGGAGAGGAGCCTCGCCCCCCCGTCACCCCCCCCCCTTCTGCCCCCAGGCTGATCATCAGTAAGAAGGAGCGGAAGTTGCAGAAAGGGTCCGGCTTCCACCTCGACCTGCTGCTGATCGTGGCCATGGGCGGCTTCTGCGCCCTCTTTGGCCTGCCGTGGCTGGCGGCCGCTACGGTGCGCTCCGTCACGCACGCCAATGCGCTCACCGTCATGAGCAAGGCCGTGGCGCCGGGAGACAAGCCCAAAATCCAGGAGGTGAAGGAGCAGCGCGTCACCGGGCTGCTGGTCGCCATCCTCGTGGGTGAGTCGCTCTGTTCTCCTGTTCGTCGCTGGGTGGTTGACCGGCATGACCGGCTGTTCTCCTGGCCGTCTGCACAGCCTCCTACTCAACAGCTGCTGGATTCGGAAGGAGGGCGGCTGGAGGGCTGAGTGCCTGTCCTTCCTCACCCCCACCCCACCCCACCCCAGGCTTGTCCATCGTGATCGGGGACCTGCTGCGCAAGATTCCGCTGGCGGTGCTCTTCGGCATCTTCCTCTACATGGGCGTCACCTCGCTGAATGGGATCCAGTTCTACGAGCGCCTTCACCTGCTGCTTATGCCGCCCAAGCACCACCCGGACATGCCCTACGTCAAGAAGGTCAGGGTCTCCGGGTGTAGGAATTGGGGGAGAGGCGTGGGGGGTCCTTCGCGCCAGGCCCTTCGGATCCGGCTGTAGGGACTGCCTGCTTTTTTCGTCCGCCTCTCTAAATCCTCCTTCTTCCCTCCTTCCTCGTTCCTTTCCTCTCCCGGCAAAGCTGCTGTTCTCCCTCTGCCGGGGCCCAATTCTCCGCCTTTCGCAACCCCTTTTCCAGCCGAAACTGGTTATCTTTTTACAGAGGTGTTTACCTGGAGTTTAAGCCGCCAATTCTTTTTTTTACGGATAACCCACCCCCCCTTTGTTTCGTGGCTGATCCATCTATGTTGCAGACCCCACTCCTGCAGCTGCCCTCGTCACGGGCCCTTTGACGTACCCCCGGGTCAGTGCCCCCCCTCCAAAAACCCACACCTCCCCCAGAGCGCACACAGCTACACGGAGGTCTCTAGGCTACACACAGTCCAGTACTCGCGGCTTACGATTCCGCTCTTTTCTCCTCCTACTTTGCGCCCCTCCACCAGGACTCCCAGCATGGTGACTGGTGAAAGCTCACCAGGGACTCGCGGACACACACACACACACACACACACTTTTTAAAGTAGGGACTCTTTCCGCTGGGACGCTCTCTGTCTCCCCTCCCCTCCCCTGACCCAGACTGTCCATGGACCACGTGGGGTTGGCGAGGGAGGCCGGGGGTCTTTTTCGGCCCTTTGTGCTTTTCGCACACCCTCCAAAGCAGACATGTCAAACTCGCGACATCGCGTGATGTCTCGAAACTGTTTCCCCATTGCCGGCGATGGGGTGGGAGCGGTTTCCTTGTGACACATCCGGTCCGTGGGACGGCAGTTTGACACCGCTGCTCAAAAGGAACCTGGTGCCCTCGTTGGGCGTGCCGTTTTCTGTCGTGTGTGTGTGATGTCACAGGTGTTGTCGCCTACCCCTTCCTATTGGCGTAGAAATTGGGGGAGTGGAGGGGTGGGCAGGGCCATCGTGCAGTGGACGCGGCTGCCCGCCCAGCACGTTCCTCCTTTCGCTCCTCCCCAGGTGCGCACGATGCGCATGCACCTCTTCACGCTCCTGCAGCTGGCCTGCCTGGCCGTGCTCTGGGCTGTCATGTCGACCGTCGCCTCGCTGGCCTTCCCCTTCATCCTCATCCTGACGGTGCCTCTCCGGTTGTTCCTGCTGAGCCGCATCTTCACGGAGCGGGAGATGAAATGTGTAAGTTGGGGGGGGGCTGGAGGAGTGGGGGGGCAAGGGGGCGGGGCAGGTCCCGGTCCTGGAAAGCCCCATGCGGGTCTGTCGCTTTCTCGCCTGCAGCTGGACGCCGCCGAGGCCGAGCCCATCCTGGACGAGCGGGAAGGCGTGGACGAGTACAACGAGATGCCCATGCCGGTGTGAGGCGAAGCCCGAAAACCTTCGCGGGCCGAGAGCAGACACAACCCCCCCTCCTCTCAACCCAGTGCCTTTGCGTGTCGGTCGAGGAGGAGCGGCCGACACTGAGCCCCTCCAGACCGCCTGTGCGGTCTGTCGGCGGAGCGCCGGTGCCCCCGCCAGCCGCCGGAGAGCTTACGCGCGCACCCCTCAATTCTATGCACCAGCCGGAGGTGGGGGGGGAGGCACGACCCCTCCAGGAAGGACCCTCGGCTGCTTCCCAAAGGCCACGACTGCGTTTCGGAGGGGGTCGATCCGCAGCTTCGTCGGAGTCGGGGGGAGCCGGCGAGGCAGGACTGGGGGCCCGGCGGCATTGAGCCTCGCCGGTCTGCCCCCCCCCCGGGTTCAGGACAAAGAGAGTCAGCCACAGGGAGCTGGCCCTAAGGCACTTAGGGGGGGCTTTCCTGGAGCAGGAACCTGCCCCCCCCCTTTTAATCGACCGGGCCACGATGAAACTGCGGTCCGAAGAGGAGGGAAGCAGGGATGGGGGGGTGGGGGGGTGGTGGATAATAAAGTAATGAGGGCTCCTGCATGGATGTCTCGCACGTTTTGTCTGGGGGGGGGAGGCTTTCCACTCGGGATCCAGGAGAAGGCTGGGATAGAGGGGACCCCCCCCCACAGGTTTCCCCAGCCACAGACCCCCCCCCCCATGGGCTTTGGCTGTCTTGGCGTCTGCTGTGATGTCATGTTGTTCCCCTAAATGTCCCCCCCATTCTCTCCAGCCCTAGGAGAGCAGCAGCCATGGGGAGGTCCCAGAGATGATAATAATGATCAGTGAGGATGTTGAGGATGATGTTGGAAGGGAACTCGGAGGTCATCTAGCCCAACCCCGTTCGACAGGAGGCCCTTAAAGACTCAAAGAATTGGAAGGGACCTCGGAGGTCATCTGGTCCAGCCCCCTGCTGAAGCAGGAGACCCTTACAGAGTCACAGGATGACAAGAGTTGGGAAGAGACCTCGGAGGTCATCCAGTCCAGCCCCCTGCTCGAGCAGGAGACCCTTACAGAATCACAGGGCTGGAAGGGACCTCGGAGGTCATGTAGTCCAACCCCCTGCTGAAGCAGGAGACCCTGACAGAGTCATAGAATAACAGAGCTGGAAGGGACCATGGGGGCTCATCTAGTCCAACCCCTTGCTGAAGCAGGAGACTCTTACAGAGTCACAGAATAACAGAGCTGGAAGGGATCTCGGGGGTCATCTAGTCCAGCCCCCTGCTGAAGCAGGAGACCCTTACAGAATCACAGAGTTGGGAAGGGACTTCGGAGGTCATCCAGTCCAGCCTCCTGCTCGAGCCAGGAGACCCTTACAGAATCACAGACTGACCGAGTTGGGGAGGGACCCCGGAGGTCATCTAGTCAGCCCCCTGCTCCGGCTGCTTTGTCAAGCCCCCATCTGCCTCTGGATCCAGAGCCAGGGATGGGTGTCAGGCGAGGCCTCCCGAGGACAGGAGGAGGGGGGGAAGGGCATCCGGGCACACACACACCTGCTCCTTTCTGCTATCGGGAGTAGCAGCCTTCGCCCTGGCACACGAGTCACCCCGCTCCATGCCCCCCCCACAGGGGCGCCCTGACATGGGCCAAGCCGCCCGACAAAATAAAAGGAGCCCAACTTTCTGGAAAACCACATTTATGAACTGGGCGCACAGGAGGAGCGTGAGAAGCGACGAGGAAATGGGGAGTATCCACATTGGGAAGTCGCCGGTGGAAGTGCTGGCCTTCCTTAAGCTGGCACCCGGTCCGCAGGAAGAGCAAGGATCAACAGATCACCCTCTCCAGTTTGTGGGAAGTCCCAGGAGGACACAGATAAACATCCAAGTAGCCTCAACAGCTCTCCAAAAGGAGACAAATGACCAGCGGTCTGCAAGGAGGACAAATCCTCCCGTTTCCCACCATCCAGTCACAGCTTGGTTTTTCTTCCCCGTGAAGACGTTTCCCTTCTTCCACCAAGAAGCTTCTTCAGTTCCAGACTGAATGGTAGGGAATGGGCGGGTTTATATTCCTGGAAGACAGCTGGTCATTTGCACTCTTTTACAGAGTCATTGAGGCCACTTGGGGGGGTTTATCTGTGCCCTCGGGGATCACCAAAATAGTGCAAATGGGTGTGGAGGCTTCTTGGAAGGGCTGAAAGGACCGCGTTGTAGTTCGGTGGTGTCGTATCCCTCCGACAAAGAGAAATCTCCTAGTGGCCTCAACGGCTCTCTAAAATAATGCAAATGACCAGCAGTCTGCAAGGAGGGTAAATCCTTCCATTCCTCCACCACCCGGTCAGAGCTGAAGAAGCTTCTTGGACGAGAAGCAAAACGTCTGCAAATAATAATAAGAAAGTCCCACGAGGACACAGATAAACCTCCAAGTGGCCTCAACGACTCTCCGAAAGAAGGCAAATGACCAGCGCTCTGCAAGGAGGATAAATCCTTCCGTTCCCCTCCATCCAGCCAGCTGAAGAAGCTTCTTGGATGGGAAGTGAAATATCTTCAAAGAATCTCATGAGGACTCAAAACCTCCAAGTGGCCTCAACGGCTCTCGGAAAGGAAGCAAATGACCAGCTGTCTGCAAGGAGGATAAATCCTTCCGTTCCCCCACCATCCGGTCGGAGCTTCTGCGATGACCTGGATGACGGGGAATCTCTATCGACATTTTCTCCGATGCTCGGGAAGGAGATGAACCCCAAATTTGGTGCCCTCCCCAGGACAAAGCAATGGCTCTCGTGGTCTGTTCTATTTCCCCCACACACACAAACACCCCAGCCCCCCCACACCTCTCACAATCTGTAGGGCAGATCTCCCATCTTTCCAGACTTGAGCGAGGCAAGACATCTCCAGTTTTAAGACCGGGCAACCGGATTGGCCCGTTCGGCACCGCAGGAAAGGGGAGGCGGCCTTTGGCGACTGTCGTTTTAAATAAAATAAATAAACACAACGCACTTTTGCAATTTCCGCCAGCCGAAGCACTCGAGTTTTATGGAAGGCGAATTGACGAAGCAATTGTCCAGCGGCTTCCTTTGTGTTGCCGATCACACCAATTCCCGAGGATTGTGCAAGATAGCACTTTTTGGGGGGGGGGGGAAGGAACAACTGAATGGTAAGGATTGGAAATGTGGTGTTGGGGGACTCCCCGCCCCACCCAGCTGAGTTTACACACTTGCACACCCCAATTTTGTTTAATGACACCGTCAACGGAGAGCAGGTCCTCTTCTTTGCAGCCGTTCGTTTACGGATGGTGCAGAAAAGCAACTTGACGAGTGGTCCTCGCGCTTACGGCCAAGGCAGCAGCCCCCGGATTGTGATTCGGGGGGCTCGGAAACCATCGCAGAGCGAGGACGGTCACCACCTCCTTGACGAGCGCTCGCAACTTTCCCGGCTGTGTTTTTTGACCGACCAGTCAAGGCAACAGGGGAGGTAGCTGAGGAAGGCGGCCTTCTCGTTTAACGACCAATTCCCTGGTCCCTCCTGGGGTCGTAAGTCGAGGACTGCCGGTGGAGGGTTGGAAGATTTTAAAAGGTTTCCTGGGAGGGGGGGGGTGAAGAAGGGAGTTGCCGGTGGAAATCCCCAGCGTAAAGAAATTTCGAGTTTTTCTTTGAAAGGAATTTAGCGGATGAAGTGTTAAGAGAGCTCGGGGGGGGGGAGAGGGGAGGAAGAGGATGGTGTTCTGCCCCCCCCCCCGCAGGCCTGGCTGTGAGGTCAGGCAGGGAGCAAATGGATGATAGCAAAGAAAAATCACTTCTAATTGTGTTGGGCTGGGCAGATTTTCCGGCAAGCGGCCAAAAAAAGGAGGATTTGCAGCACAAATAGCCTCTCTCACCTTGGTATGTGTGTGTGTGAGAGAGAGAGAGCGAGAGAGAGAAAGAGGGGGAAAGAATGAGAGGAAGAGAGAGAGACAGAGAGACAGAGAGGGAGAAAGAATGAGAAAGAGAGAGGGGGGAGAAAGAGAATGAGAGGAAGAGAGAGAGAGAGAGGAAGATAAAGAGGGAGAAAGGAAGAGACACAGAGAAAGGGAGGGAGAGAAAGAGGGAGAGAATGAGAGAGGGAGAGGGGGAGAGGGAGAGAAAGAGGGAGGCAGGAAGGGAGAAGAGATGGGAAGGAAGAGAGAGGGACAGAAAGAAAGAGGGAGAGAGATGGAGAGAGAGAGGAAGAGAGAGAGAGGAGAAAGAATGAGAGAGAGGGAGAAAGAATGAGAGGAAGAGAGAGAAGTAGAGAGGAAGATAAAGAAAGAGGGAGAAAGGAAGAGAGATACAGAGAAAGGGAGGGAGAGAAAAAGAGAGAAAGAGAGGGAGAGAAAGAGAGGGAGAGAGGGAGATGGAGAGAGAGGGAGGGAGGGAGAGAGAGAGGGAGAGAGAGAGTCTTTGTTGTTATACAAACTTGTCTTACTCTTGATCACAAGGGCACCTTGCCAAACTGGAATCACAATCTAACCTTCCTGGAGGCTGAGTCTCACTTTTGTAATTAAGTGCACACGTGGGTGCAAGGGAGGGGAGAGGAGAGAGGGGAGGGCAGAAGGGATGGGGAGGGAGAGGAGAGAGTGGGAGGGAGGAGGGAGGGAGAGAGGGAGTAGGAGAGAGAGAAGGAAAGCGAGAGAGTGGAAGGAGTGGGAAGATAGGGAAGGAGATAGGGAGGGAGTGGGAAGGAGATAGGAAGGGGGAGGGAGGAGAGAGAGGAGGGAGAGTGGGAGGGAGGGAGAGAGGGAGTAGGAGAGAGAAGGAAAGTGAGAGTGGAGTGGGAGGGAGATAGGGAGGAGAGGAGGGAGAGAGTGGGGGGAGGGAGGAGAGAGAAGGAAAGTGAGAGAGTGGAGTGGGAGGGAGAGAGGAAGGAGAGAGAGGAGGGAGAGAGTGGGAGGAAGGAGAGAGGGAGTAGGAGAGAGAAGGAAAGCGAGAGTGGAGTGGGAGGGAGATAGGGAGGGGGAGATAGGGAGGAGAGGAGGGAGAGAGTGGGAGGGAGGAGGAGGAGAGAGAAGGAAAGTGAGAGAGTGGAGTGGGAGGGAGATAGGGAGGGGGAGATAGGAAGGAGAGAGGAGGGAGAGAGTGGGAGGAGGGAGAGAGGGAGTAGGAGAGAGAAGGAAAGCGAGAGTGGAGTGGGAGGGAGATAGGGAGGGGGAGATAGGGAGGAGAGGAGGGAGAGAGTGGGAGGGAGGGAGGAGGAGAGAGAAGGAAAGTGAGAGAGTGGAGTGGGAGGGAGATAGGGAGGGGGAGATAGGAAGGAGAGAGGAGGGAGAGAGTGGGAGGGAGGGAGGGAGGGAGTAGGAGAGAAGGAAAGAGAGAGTGGAGTGGGAGGTAGGGAGGGGGAGATAGGGAGGAGAGAGAGGAGGCAGAGAGTGGGAGGGAGGGAGGGAGTAGGAGAGAGAAGGAAAGTGAGAGAGAGTGGAGTGGGAGGGAAATAGGGAGGGGGAGATAGGAAGGAGAGAGAGGAGGGAGAGAGTGGGAGGGAGGAGGGGGAGTAGGAGAGAGAAGGAAAGAGAGAGTGGAGTGGGAGGGAGATAGGGAGGAGAGAGAGGAGGGAGAGAGTGGGAGGGAGGGAGGGAGTAGGAGAGAGAAGGAGAGTGAGAGTGGAGGGAGATAGGGAGGGGGAGGGAGGGAGGAGGAGGGAGAGAGTGGGAGTAGGAGAGAGAGAAGGAAAGGGAGATTGAGTGGAGTGGGAGGGAGAGACAGGGAGTGGGAGGGAGGAGAGAGGAAGGGAGAGGAGAGAGGAGATGGGACAGGGCAGAGGGGAGGGGGCGACAGGAGGAGAGGAGAGAGAAGAGAGGGAGAGGGGACGGGGAGAGGCGACAGGAGAGGGGAGGGCAGGGTGGGGGCCGAGGGGAGGGGAGAGGAAGGCCAGCAAGGCCAAGTTCCATACAGGCAGCCCTCGAGTCACCACTGCAACTGAGCCGAACATTTCCCGTCACTCAGCGAAACCGTTCAGTGAGTTTTGCCCCCATTTTACACCGGAGCGCTCGCGCCCTTGGCGGCCCCTCCCTCCCAGAAGATGCTCCAGAGGGCTCCCCCAGCGCAAACGCCCGCCCCCTCTTGATTTGTGGCCCCACATTCCTGGGGGGGTGACGGGGCCCGGCCAGCAGCCCCCTCCCTCCGCAGAGAAACCCTCCCCACCCGCTCCACCCGGGCGGCGCCCACCGCAGAGACTCTTCCCTTTCCTTCACAGCTTTAATGGAAAAAGAAGAACCGTCGGCAAGGGGGGGGGTCATCTCCTGCCAGGGCTGGGGAGGGCCAGGCGATCCGCGGAAAGACCCTAACCCGGCCACGGGGCTCCGAGCTCAGGCCCCCAAGAGAGCCGGCGCCCCCACCCTGGCGTCCTTTGTCCGGCTGTGTGTGGGGGGTAGACAAGTCTCGGCGCAGGGCCCGGCCGCTATCTGCGGTAGGCGGCAAAGGCCACGAAGCTGAAGAGGAGGGTGAGGCCGGCCAGGCAGGTGGTGGCCGTGGCGGTGAAGGCGTGCCGGTGCTGCACCTGGAAGTACCAGAGGGCGCCCAGCATCAGCACCATCAGCGGCACCATCAGGCCACCCACGTTCAAGGCCGGCCGGGCGGCTTCCGGGCGGCTCCGGGATCCGGCGCCCGAAGAGGGGCCCGGCGAGGCCCGGCGCTGGGAGACGTGGCAGTGGAGGACGCTGTTGTGGGTCAGGTGCAGGGCGGCCAAGGTCTGCCCGTCGTCCCGGAGGAGCTGGCCCTGGTAGATGAGGCGCACCAGCTGCTCCTGGCCCGGGAAGTAGAGCCTAGGGGGGTGAGAAGGAGAGAGGCGGTGGGGGGGTGGCCCCGAGTCCGGTTCCCTCCCCTCCCCGTGGTGCCCAGCAACGGCCTCCTCCGCTCACCGGGCCCAGGAACCCAACTCTTCCCTCCCGGAGGGGTGGGGAGGTGGGTGAGAGCAGGAGGGAAGCGTCAGGGGCAGGCTGAGCTCCCGACAGGCGGGCCTCCCCCTGCCCGTCCCCAGGCACCGGGTCTTCCCTGCCGCCAATGAAGCCAAATGGGGAGGGGGGGCAGAGGATGAAGATGATGATGATGGAGGAGGGGGACAGGGAAGGGGAGGGTGGGAGGAGGGGAAGGAGAGGGGGAGGGGGAGACGGTGGTCCTTCCACTTCCCTTGCCTTCAATGGGGACCAAGGGGGGGAGGGTCTGCCTTCCAGTGAAGCCGAATGGGGATGGGGGAAGAGGATGAAGATGATGATGAAGAAGGGGGAGGGGGGAGGGAGGGGAGAGGGGAGGGGAAGGAGGGGGAGGGGGAAGAGGGGACAGGAGAGGGGAAGGGAAGGACGGGGAAGGGAGAGGGGGAAACGGAGGGGGAGGGGAGGGGAAGAGGAGGAGGGAGAAGGGAGAGGTGGGGGAGGGGGATACGAAGAGGGGAGGGAGAGGAGGGGAGGGAGAGGAAGAGGAGGGAGAGAGGGAGGGAGGGGAAAAGGGGGAGGGCGTAGAGGAAGGAGGGGTGGAGGAGGGAGGGGGAAAGGAAGAGGGGAAGGAAGCAGGGAGAGTGGGAGGAGAGGAGGAAGGGGGAGGGGGGAAGGGGGAAGAGACCCCCCCCAGAGGGGAACCCCTAGCCCCTCCCCCTTCTACCTCTTCAGGGAGGGGGGAAAGGAAGGGAGGGAAGGAGAGAGAGGGAGAGGAGGAGGGGGCAGAGGAGGAGGAGGAAGAGGGGGCAAAGGAAAAAAGGGAGGGAGGGAGAGCAGGAGGGAGGGGAAGGAGGGGGAGGGAGAGGAGGGGGAAGAGGAAGAGAGAGGGGGAAGCAGAGAGACCCCCAGAGGGACACTAGCCCCTCCCTCTTCCCCCTACCCTCTCAGGGGAAGGGAGGGAGCAAAGGAAGAGGGGACGGGGGGAGGGAGAGGAGGGGGGAGGAGAGGGGGAAGAGGGAGGGGGGAAGAGACCCCCAGAGGGGAACCCCTAGCCCCTCCCCTCTTCCCCCTTCCCCTCCTCCCTCTTCAGGGGAAGGGGAGGGGGGCAAAGGAAGAGGGGAGGGGGGGGGGGAGAGGAGGGGGAGAGGTGGGGGGAAGAGACCCCCAGAGGGGACCCCCTAGCCCCTCCCCTCTTACCCCCTCCTCCTCCTCCCCTTAGGGGAAGGGGAGGGGGGCAAGAAGAGGGGAGGTGGGGAGGGAGAGGAGGGGGAGAGGTAGGGGGGAAGAGACCACCAGAGGGGAACCCTAGCCCCTCCCCTCTTCCCTCCCCCTCCCTCCCTCTTCAGGGGAAGGGGGGGAAGGGGGGCAAAGGAAGAGGGGAGGGGGGAGGGAGAGGAGGGGGAGAGGTAGGGGGGAAGAGACCCCCAGAGGGGAAACCCTAGCCCCTCCCCTCTTCCCCCTCCCCCTCCTCCCTCTTCAGGGGAAGGGGAGGGGGGCAAAGGAAGAGGGGAGGGGGGGAGGGAGAGGAGGGGGAGAGGTAGGGGGGAAGAGACCCCCAGAGGGGAACCCCTAGCCCCTCCCCTCTTCCCCCTCCCCCTCCTCCCTCTTCAGGGGAAGGGGAGGGGGGCAAAGGAAGAGGGGAGGGGGGGAGGGAGAGGAGGGGGAAGAGGGAGGGGGGAAGAGACCCCCAGAGGGGAACCCCTAGCCCCTCCCCTCTTCCCCCTCCCCCTCTTCAGGGGACGGGGAGGGGGCAAAGGAAGAGGGGACGGGGGGGAGGGAGAGGAGGGGGGAGGAGAGGGGGAAGAGACCCCCAAGAGGGGAACCCCTAGGACCCTCCCCCTTCCCTCACCCCTCCTCCCTCTTCAGGGAAGGGGTAGGGGGGCCAAAGGAAGAGGGGAGGGGGGGAGGGAGAGGAGGGGGAAGAGGGAGGGGGGAAGAGACCCCCAGAGGGGAACCCCCAGCCCCTCCCCCTCCCCTCCTTCAGGGGAAGAAGGGGAGGGAGAAGAAGAGACCCCTCCCCCGAGGGAAGCCCCCTCCCCCAGCCCCCCCCTCCCTACCTCTTCAGGGCCCCCACCGTGTCTCCGGGGCGGACCCGGGCCAGCCGCTCCGTCTCGTTCAGGAACTTCAGCCGGAGCAGGAAGGGGGGGGCCGGCTCCCCCGCCGCCCCGGGCCCCGCCCCCGACTCCTCCTCCTGCTCCTCCTCGGCCCCGCCCCCGCCGCCCGCCCGGGGCTGGCGGGCTCCGTCGCGCGCGGGGGGCGGGGCGGCGGGGCGCAGGCGCGGGGGGGCAGCTTCCCCCTCCGCCCCGCCCCCTCCGCCGCCCGGCGCGGTCCGCGTGGAGAGCCAGGCCAGGCCCAGCAGCGCCGCCGCCAGCAGCGCCCCGAAGAGCGCCGCCACCTCGTCCCCGACGCCCTCCAGCAGCGCCATCTCGCCTCGCCCCGCCCGGGGGAGCTGGGGGAACGACGAGGAGACAGAAGGGCCCCGCAGGCTTGCCTCCGCTTCCGCTTCCGCCCGCCGGGAGTGAGAGAGAGACACGCGCTTCCGGGAGGGACGGAGGGACGCCGCCCCCGCCTGACGTCACTCTCGCGCGCGCCCACTCTCTCTGCCCCCCCCCCGGCCGCAGGGCCTTGTGGGCGCTGTAGTGGCCCGGGCGGCGCCGCCCAGGAAGGCGACGCGCGCTTCCGGGGGCCCGAGGCGGAAGCGGCTCCGCCCCCTCCTCCTCCTCCTCCTCCTGCTGGGGGACGGGGGGGAGGGACGAGTTGGGGGGGAGGAGGAGGAGGAGGAGGAAGGTTTTGGGACTCCCGCCCTGTCCCGGGGGTGGCCCTGAGGATTAGGTGGAGAGAGAGAGAGGGAATGAGGAAAAGGAAGGAAGGAAAGAGATAGGAGGGAGGAGAAAGAAAAGAAAGAAAGAAAGAAAAAGGAGGGATGAAAGAAAAGGAAAGAGGCAGGGAGGAGAAAGAGACAAATATAGAAAGAAAGAAAGAAAGAAAGAAAAAGGAGGAGAAAGACAGAAATATAGAAAGAAAGAAAAAGGGAGGGAGGAATACAAAGAAAGAATCAGAAAAGAATGAGAAGAAAGAAAGAAAATAAGAAAGACAGAAAGAAAAAGACAGAATCAGAAAAGAAAGAAAGAAAGAAAGAGGAACAAGAGAAAAAGAAGGAGGGAGGAGAAAGACAGAAATATAGAAAGAAAGAAAAAAGGGAGGGAGGGAGGAAGACAGAAAAAGAAAATCAGAAAAGAATGAGAAGAAAGAAAATAAGAAAGACAGAAAGAAAAAGAATCAGAAAAGAGAAAGAAAGGAACGAAAGAAAAAGGAAGGGAGGGAGGGACGAGAAAGACAGAAATATAGAAAGAAAGAAAAAAGGGAGGGGGGAGGAAGACAGTCAGAAAGAAAAAGAAAATCAGAAAAGAATGAGAAGAAAATAAAGAGAAAAAGACAGAATCAGAAAAGAGAAAGAAAGAAAGAGGAACAAAAAAAGAAAGAAAGGGGAGGGAGGGAGGGAGGAGAAAGACAGAAATATAGAAAGAAAGAAAAAAGGGAGGAAGAAAGAAAGAATCAGAAAAGAATGAGAAGAAAGAAAATAAAGACAGAAAGAAAAAGAATCAGAAAAGAGAAAGGAAAGAAAGAAAGGAACGAAAGAAAAAGAAAGAAAGGGAGAGAGGAGAAAGACAGAAATATAGAAAGAAAGAAAAGAGGGAGGGAGGGAGGAAGAAAGAAAAAAAGAATCAGAAAAGAGAAAGAAGAAAAAAAGAAAAGAGAAAGACGAAAGAAAGCAAAGAGTAGGAAAGAACGGCAAAGAAAGACAATACAATCAAAAAAGGAGAAGGAGAAGAAAAAGAGAATGAGAAAAGAAACAAAAGAGAAAAAGAAAGACAGGATAAGGAAGGAGCATGAGAAGAGAGAAAAAGAAAGAAGGCAAATGACAGAGAGAATGAGAAAAGGAGGAACGAGGAGAGAAAATGAGAAAGAGACCGAAAGAAAAAGAGAAGGAGAGAAAGAAAGAAAGAAGGGGAGGAAGGGAAGGAAGGGGCCCTTCCGGACGGCTGGCCCCCGTCGGAGGAGGCAGAAGTTGCGGTTCGCCTCCACACGGGTTCAAGGAAGGAGGAAAGACAGAGATGCTAGAAGAAGAAGCCGAGAACGCAGTGAGCCCCTTGCCCCTTCTTCGCAAGACCTCCAGATTTCCGGAATCTTGAAAATCCGGAAAACTAAAGAGGAGATGCCAGGAAGGTACCAACTCCAGAACGTCCACCTGTCCCTGCACACACTCCTGAGCGGATTTCGTGCAACGGGGGGGGGGACGTGGCCGATCCTAGCGCCGTCTTGGGTGCCGGAGGAGGAGAAGGCAAACCACCTTTTTCTGTGGGAAATTTCGCCTGGATTGATGATTTCAGGATATTTACAGCCGCCCGTCTCAAATAACGCAACCAGGCGGTCGACGGCCGCTTGAAAAACGGGTCGTAAGAAAAGCGAAACGTCGAAAGAAACGCACGCCTCTCCAATTGCGAAGCGTTTGTCTTGCCCTCCGGGGCTTTGGAAAAATAAGTTGACCCCCCCTCCTCTTTTTCGTATTGGAATCCTGCTATCGTGTCGTCCCACCCCCTTACCCCCTCTTTCCTTAAAATCTGCCATTCCCAGTTCCCGCAGCCGTCCTTCGTATGTTTTAGTCTCCAGGCCTTGGGTCAACTGAGTTGCTCTTCTCTGCGCTTTTCCCAAAGTCTCCACATCTTTTTTTTTTTCCTAAGGTGGTGATCAAAAACTGGACGCGGCATTCCAGATGGATTTCCAAAGCGGTACTAGTAACTTCACATGATTTTGATTCCGTGCCTCTGTTTATACAACCAAAGATACGAAGGAAAGACAACGAGGCAACGGCTAATGGTGCAGATATCCGTATAGCTCCAAAGTATATGGAGCTGCTTTGGAAAACCTTCCAGGGTGTGGTGGAGGCCTGGCACACCCAGAACTGCTAATATAATAATAACAACAACAACAACAATAATGATGATGATGATGCCTATCCCAGGTCCTTGATAAGGACTCGATAGATAGACAAAATGCCAAATCCAGTCTGAACATCTGGCTGACTGTGCGATGATCCATAATAATAATAATAAAGTTAGAAGGGACCTTGGAGGTCATCTAGTCCAACCCCCAGCTCAAGCAGGAAACCCTATACCATTTTGTACAAATGGCTGTCCAGTCTCTTCATAATAATAATCATAATAAAGTTGGAAGGGACAAAAAAGTCTGGATAGTGGACGTGGCAGTGCCTGGAGACAGCAGAATAGACGAGAAAGAGCTGGAGAAGATAACAAAATACAAAGACCGACAAATAGAAATAGAAAGACTGTGGCAAAAGCAAACAAGGATAATTAATACCAATAGTGATAGGCTCCTTGGGTGCAATCCCAAAACAACTGGAGCACCACTTGAACACCATCGGCATTGACAAATTCACTATTAGTCAATTGCAAAAGGCGGCCTTACTAGGAACCGCTTCCATCCTGCGACGATACCAGTAATACCATCAAACATCCACATCTGCCTATCCCAGGTCCTGGGTAAGGACTCGATAGGTAGACAAAATGCCAAATCCAGTCTGAACATCTGGCTGACTGCGATGATCCATAATAATAATAATAAAGTTGGAAGGAACCTTGGAGGTCATCTAGTCCAAACCCCAGCTCAAGCAGGAAACCCTATACCATTTCGGACAAATGGCTGTCCAGTCTCTTCTTAAAAACTTCCAGTGTTGGAGCATTCACCACTCCTGGAGGCAGGTTGTTCCAATGGCTAATTGTTCGAACTGTCAGGAAGTTTCTCCTTAGTTCTAGGTTGCTTCTCTCCTGGATTAGTTTCCATCCGTTGCTTCTTGTCCTGCCTTTAGGCGCTATGGAGAACAGCTTGACTCCCTCTTCTTTGGGGCCACCCCTGAGATATTGGAACACGGCTATCCTGTCCCCCCTCGTCCTTCTCTTCATTAAACTAGACATACCCAATTCCATACCCAATGGACTCCAGAAGATGGTAGAGGACAGGAAGACCTGGAGGAACATTGTCCATGGGGTCGCGACGGGTCGGACACGACTTCGCAATTAACAACAACAACCCAATTCCAGCAGCCATTCCTTATATGCTTTAGCCTCCAGTCCCCTAATCATCTTTGTTGCTCTTCTCTGTACTCTTTCTAGAGTCTCAACATCTTTTTTACATCGTGGGGACCAGAACTGGATGCAGGATTCCAAGGGTGGCCTTACCAAGGCCTTGTAAAGTATTAACCCTTCACCTGATCCTGATTCTATCCCTCTGTTAATGTAGCCTGGGACTGTGTTGGCTTTTTTGGCAGCTGCAGCCCAGGGCTGGCTCCTATTTAAGGGATTGTCCACTAGGACTCCGAGGTCCCCCTCACAGTTACTACTATTGAGCAAGGTTCCCCTTATACTAAACCTGTACATTTGGTTTTTCTCGCCTAAATGTAGAACCTTGCTTTTTTCACCCTTGAATTTCATTTTGTTCGATAGCGCCCAGTGTTCGAGTCCATCCAGATCCTCCTGTATCCTAAGCCTGTCTTCTGGCGTGCTGGCTATTCCTGCCAGCTTGGTGTCGTCCGCAAATGTGATGAGTTCCCCATCCATCCCCTCATCCGAATCGTTGCCCAGAGCAGAGCCCCGGGGCACCCCACTACACACTTCCGGAGACTGTCCGGGCAGCTTGTTCGGCGGTGGAGCTGCTCGCCGTGATGGTTGGTTTGCAGAGTTGTCCGAAGGTCAATTCCCTGGAGGAGCCCTTGGCCCCCGCCCCACCCCAGCCAAAGTCTAAGCTAGGGGGGAAGGGCTGGGTTGGGTGCCTGCCTGCTGCAGGCTGTGCGCGCCCACGTTGGCTTGGAAAAGGCTTTCGGCCGTGCCGGAAGAAAAGACCTTTGTCCGAGATCAAAAGGCTTTGCGGAGGCCGGGAGGATCCGGCGAAAAGGAATGGCAGAGGCAGAAATGTTTCATCGCGTCCTGTCAGCCTCAGTAGGTAGACCGGACCAAGACGAAGGCTGAAACGACGTGGATGGAAATTGGCTCTGATGACACAATCTTGGATTGTCCTCCTCCTCCTCCTCCTCCTAGCATTGATGATGTTCCCTAGTTGGGTCATGAAACGTCTGCAAGGAAACCACCCAGCTCAGAGAGCACCAGAGACCACCACCACCTCCTCTTTATGCTCCAGTGAATTAGGGAAGAACAGTGCATTGGTGTCACTTCTGGAAGTCTGTTCTAGGTTTGGTGGAGGCCTCCCAGGCCTAGAACCGCCCACCGGAAGTGCATAGGTGTCACATCTGGAAGTCCGTTCTAGGCCTCGGAGCCTGGAGGAGGCCTCCCAGGCCTAGAACAGCTCGCCGGAAGTGCATAGGTGTCATTTCCAGAAGTCCGTTCTAGGCCTGGTGGAGGCCTCCCAGGCCTAGAATGGCCCGCCGGAAGTGTGTTGATGTCACATCCAGAACTCTGTTCTAGGCCTCGGAGGCCTGGAGGAGGCCTCCCAGGCCTAGAACAGCCCACCGGAAGTGCATAGGTGTCATTTCCGGAAGTCCGTTCTAGGCCTGGTGGAGGCCTCCCAGGCCTAGAATGGCCGCCGGAAGTGCATAGGTGCCACTTCTGGAAGTCCGTTCTAGGCCTGGTGGAGGCCTCCCAGG